TTTGTCAGCATTGCTAAAATTCTACTGAGTTTCCCAACTTTTTTTAATAATAATTTTATTAAACATTACAATTAAAAAGATAAGAATACAAACTTAAAAAAAGAATAAAAAGATATAATAGGAAGTGCAGAAAAGAAAGAAATGGCTTCCCTCTTCATAACAACAAATATAAAGTTTTAGTAACTTACCACCTTCTCTTAAAATACAACAAATATCTTCTTCCCATATCTCTCATCTCTTATCTAGAAATAAATCGTTCAGTCCTGGTCAGCAAAAGTTCATTAAGGGTTACCAGAGATAATAACATATCTATTTTAACCTTAATCAAATAAACTCACTTTATATTCCTTCCCTTTACTTTTAACAGTCTTGATCTTTTTATATTCTTTCCCTTTACTTTTAACAATCTCGATCCTTAATCCCCTCAAATAATGTCCTAGAACTTGATTTCTTCTAATTTTTTCTTTGTCCCATCTCACGATGTTCTTTGAAACTTTAACAAGTCTGTTTTGTAAATCCAATATAACAGAGTTATCCAGGTCACTTTTTTTTGATTTGGTAAGACATCAACTGGTTTCATTTGTATATCCAGTATAGCATCTCCTTTCACATCATTCCCATACCCCATTGTTTTTGAATCCACTTTCAAATCAGTCTTAGTCCTATCCAGTAAAGCTTACTTCTTTTCCATATTGTCTTCCAAACACAATCTGTCTATGATGGCAGACATTTTTAAAATTAAATTCTGGGTCCAGTGTTCACAAATATCCTTCAGTACATCCAGTGTTAAAGTATTTTGCTCCATTCCGTATTAGTAAGTCAAATTTAAGTGCTTTTCTCCTTTCATTGTAATCTTTAGTTCTTTCTGGTCCCCTCTAGTATCCAACCTTCAAAATCCCATCTTATCATAGACATTTTTTTAAGTATTCAAAACAACAGCATTTTACCACGGGAAGGATTCTTATAATTAATTTCAAAATTTTATTTCAAATCCATCTGGACCCTTA